ACCGCGAACCACCAGCTCCAAACTTCGTCACCGCCCGTGAGCTTCCCAGTCTCCGAATTCCAGCCGAACCCAGTTGTATTATGCAGCATATTGTGGAACCGACGCCACTTCACTTTCAACCGATCATGCTTGCTCGTGATTTGTGTAATCTCGTAATGGTGTTCTGGACCACACGCTTTGTTCAATGCTTTTTGAATATCCATCCAATTGCTTGTTTTGAACTTCTGGTTGATGCACTTCCCCAAGATGACTTCGTCCAACATCAACGATATTAACCGGGCCTCGTTCTCCGGAGGCCACTTTGCTTCTCCTTCTTTAGGTTGCGTTAACCCGTCTTCAGCCGACATCGACATCTACAATGTTTCATCACACACAGCTCCGAGATAATAGGAAACATCTACTCACAACAACATGGAAACGAACAGGAAGCAAACATAATAGGATAAAAAAAAAACAAATTAACGCATCAACCCCATATAAATCGACTTGCACGAGACACAAACAGCGGGGCTTTAAGCACGTAATTCAATCAATACGAAAGAATCATCATCTCAGCAGGCCCGACAGTGGAAAAGCATTAATGAAACTAAAGGTCCCAACAACAAATTTGTTTAGCAACAATAATAACAGGTGAATTGTAATTTATATAAGCACACCAAATGTGAATTTTTTTTAGCAACAATAATAACCAGACAAGATACACAATTCGCAATAAATATGCAATCCATAGGAACAAAAATTATGAATTTTAATTTATATAAACACACCAGATCAGAATCCCTTTTCTACATTTTTGGGTACTTCAATGCACTTGAAATCAATTTTAAGAACAAAAAATGTACAGAAAAATTTCAAAAATTGAAACCAACAAACCTTTCTTCTTCGTTTTGTTCTTTTTACCGGAGAATTCATCGACACACTGCCGGTGCTTTCGGTGTGCGGGTCGGTCCTCTCCAACGGGTCCTCCAGCGATAGAACATGACGGATGGAGTTGCGGAGAGACGGATCTGGGGAGGAGTTCATTGTTTTTTTTGTTCACAGAAGAACCCATTTTATTGAAGGAGATGGATGGCTTCTTGGAGTGTTCAAACTCGAAATGACGTGCTATTTCACTTTTTTTCAGAATGGTTGGTAATACATAATTTAATAATACAGATAAGTTTTAATGTGGGGGGCAGTAGCTGGATCAGTGGGCCTGCCACTAAGTTTGAATAGACTCAAATATTTTGGTACACAAGCCCAATTAACTCATTTTCTTCAGTTATTTCACTTTCAACAAATTAATCCATATACAAACACTCCCTTAAATTTTAGGTAATTTTGTTAGTTAAAAATATAATTGATTAAAAATGACTGAATATGATTTATATCCGAGCACCCTCGTAGATATTTTATTCATTTCAACAGAATGGGCGGACTAGCAAAATTCTAAGTACCAGCCTATCTCAGGAGGATAAAACGAGAGAGAAAAATATCCGTGGTGAGGGTTTTTGTTGATAAACCCTAGTTGAGCTATTCAGGTCAGTGGTTTCCGAACTCCATTTCTCCTTCTCATAGTGTTTTATAATTTGTGTTTGTGTTTGTGGTGATTTATACAAGAATACCCAGATCTTATCATGGAACCCAAATTCTTGATTTCACCGTATAAAGCCCCACCGTCGGTTTGCGCTCTCCCGTTCTTCCTCTCGTTCAATTCATCCCTGTTTCAAAAGCCCAAGTCTTGTTCTGATATCCGCGTATCTGTTTCATCCAACAATCCGAAGAAGACGGCATTTTTGGGACAAAATCTAGTGTTTCGAAAAAATTATGAATTGCCCACAAATTTGAGCACCCGTTTTCCGGTGACAAGAGCCGGCCCCGTGAAACGGAGGAAAGAGCTCCCCTTTGACAACGTTATCGAAAGGGACAAGAAGCTCAAGGTGGCCCTCAAAATCAGGAAAATACTCATGAGCCAGCCGGACCGGGTGATGGCCCTCCGTGAACTGGGCCGATTCAGAAAAGCCCTCGGGCTGCACAAGCGGCGCCGTTTTATAGCCCTCCTCAAGAAATTCCCGGCCGTGTTTGAGGTTGTGGAGGAAGGCGCCTACTCCCTCAAGTTCAAACTGACTCCAGAGGCCGAGAGGCTTTACCTCGAGGAGTTGAAGATCAGGAACGAGATGGAGGACTTATTGGTCATTAAGCTCAGGAAACTGTTGATGATGTCGATCGACAAGCGTATTCTCCTGGAGAAAATCGCGCATTTGAAGGCCGATTTTGGTCTTCCTACTGAGTTTCGTAACACAATATGCCACCGGTACCCTCAGTACTTTAGGGTTGTCCCGACAGGGCGGGGTCAGGCCCTCGAGCTGACCCACTGGGACCCGGACCTAGCGGTTTCTGCTGCCGAGCTTGCGGAAGAGGAGAATAGACAGCGGGAATTGGACGAGAAGGATTTGATTATTGATAGGACGCCAAAATTCATTAGAGTGAAGCTCCCGAAGGGCCTCAACCTGTCGAGAGGCGAGATGAGGAGGATCGAGCAGTTCAGAGACATGCCCTACATTTCTCCTTATTCGGACTTCTCGGGCTTGCGGGCAGGCACGCGTGAGAAGGAGAAGCACGCGTGTGGGGTGGTACACGAGATCCTGAGTCTGACGGCCGAGAAGAGGACACTCGTGGATCACCTGACCCACTTCCGGGAGGAGTTCAGATTCTCCCAGCAGTTGAGGGGAATGCTGGTACGCCATCCGGACATGTTCTATGTGTCACTCAAGGGGGACAGGGACTCGGTTTTCCTCCGGGAGGCGTATAGGGACTCACAGTTGATCGAGAAGGACAAGATGCTGCTCGTGAAGGAGAAGTTCCGGGCGCTCGTGAATGTTCCGAGGGTTGGCAGGCAGCAGCGCAGCGAGGATGAACAAGAGGGTGAATCTGATATGGATGAGTGGTCGGATATTGACGATTTAGAAAGTGATGAGTATGATGATGATGGTGATAATGATGATGAGAATGGGGATGAATGGAGTGATGATGATGATGGTGATGATGATGTGCCTCCAGATTTTAATGATGAGGAATACGATAGTTTGCAAGTTGGGAAGATGGGCAAGAATGTTAATGGGTCTAGCAAGAATCAGGACAAAAAGGTTCTTCTTCCCGTTTTTCCGGACGGGCGGCCTAGGGAACGCTGGTAGATGTGTAGCAATATGAGTGTGTCTCGTGGGTATTTCTGGTATTTTTGCTGAGAGGGGGTAAATGTTTCTTTTCTTGTTCAAGAGCTCGGTAGTTTTCTCCAGGAATCCTAGGTGTGTGTTGTGATTGGTACTAAAATGTGGTCTGTCATCACCTTGTTTATGAGTTATGTTTAATGAATTGGAATATTTCATCACCGTGAACACAGAGATTTTGAAACTTTGGAGGAAATCTATCACGCTCGACAGTTGGATGTTAATTGGAATATTGATCATATTGATGCTGCAGTATATGCCTTTGATAACTATTGAAAGGGCAAGTTATCATCAAGATGGATGATAGGGAAGTTTGCGAAAGATTCATGCCGACTCGGTTAAGTACTGTGCTTCACATTAAGCAAATATTCGATTGCCAAACTTGACTGGACTGTGTAGCAAGGTCAAAGACACTGTGAATAGAGATTATGCCTTTTGGTCTTCCTCTTATTTCTTGAAATCAGTAGATATTATTCCTTTTGGTCTGAAGACCTCTCTCTCTCTCTATGATATGGTTTCTAAATTTATCATTGATGATATGGTTTTGCATTTTGTGGCAACCCTGTCATTCCTTTGCTGCTGGTTCTCTCGTTTGTTCCTTTCATGACATTCCCGACTTTGGGAAATTAGCAAATATACCCCGTCCTCTTTCAAAAAATGTCGCTTTTTTGGTCGTCATAAAAATTGTATTTCTGTATCTATCATATTATGTCGAATGGCTTGTCCAAAGTTGATAGGCTGCCAGCCGACCACTCGTTTTGTTCGCCTTTTCGCTCATTATGTAGTAGAAATCATCGTTTGCCCGAAAATTCACCGGAAAATTTAAATTGCAATCGGAGGAGAAGTTTGTAGTTTGGTTCTGTGCATAAAAAGAGCTTGGATATGTTTTTATAATCCAGCTAGTTGTGGTGGTTTTGTAATTATCCTCTTATAAAGAGAAGGAATAGATACTCCCAAGGAATACATGTATCATGTATGTGAATCGTTACTCTATTAGAGCATCTCCAAATGATACTATCGATTTGTTAAAATTTAGATAATGCTTAGACCATCTCCAATAGTATTGTCAGGCCTCTTTTATTTATCATGATAGGATGAGATAACATTACTTAACCAACCTTATCCGGTGTTTACTAGCAGAGTCCAGGATTGAGATAAATCATATTCATGTCATGTGTGTGGCAGGTGGGCACATGCATGTAAACATGACCGGAGGATAATTTTATCATATCTTGGGGGTGAGATATTTTTATCTCAGCACAAAAATGACTTTTTGTCCAAACAATCACATATATAACGTCCATTATATCATTGAATGTCCAAATAATTACAGATTTAATAAAGCTGATTCATTGGCAAAAGTTGACTCATGGGATTAAACCATTCTATCCCAGGGCCCCTCTTAGGGGAGGCAACCTAGCATGCCTAGGGCCTCAATTTTTTTTTTTTTTTTTTATGCCTTTTGTTGGGTTTGGTCTATTTACACAAATGAAGGAGCTAATGACTAAATATGGACTTGGCCCATTATACAAATAAATGGGTTAATTAATGAAGGGGTTAACGTAAAATATGTACTTTGTGTTAGAATTTGAGACCCTAAATATTTCATTTGTTTTCTTATGATGTTCGGTCAGAACAAGTTGTGCGAGAATATATATTCTTTGCAGTGATATGTTTTTATTTTCTTCTCCTTGTTGTCCTCGTGACTACTTGAATATAATTTATTAAAGATCTTTTGCAACTTAGAGGTAATTTCTCAATTCCAAGGTCTAGAAAAAAAAAATCATTTTTAATTATTTATTTATTCAATAGTCTTGTTCAATTAGATTTTTTTTCTTCTATGATTATATCTGGAAATAACTCTAATTACCACGCAAGTTCAAATCGAGAAATTCAAAAAGGAAAAACATGTCTGAGGCCTCCAATTTATGGAGACAGACCCTGTCCTATCCCACCTCTTCAAGTAAACTAGGCCACAATTTGTTAACATATGAGAGAATACGAGAGAATGCATAGAGCATCTCCAATAGTACTCTCAGTTTGTCAACATATGGTACTCACAGTTTGTTAAATTGATTACACATAGAATACTATCGGTTTGTTAAAATATGAGATAATGGCGTAGAGCATTATAATATGAGTAACACATTGTCGGTTTGTTAAAATATAGGGTGAATTACACATAGTATACATTGATAATGGTTAGAGCATCTGCAATAGTATTGTCTTTTTATTTTTTTTTTCATCGAAACGATAGAAATTCATTAGTGAAAACACATAATTAAGCGGTTGACTAGCTGGAAACAAGAGGCCTACCCATAAGTTGCCTAACTACCTCAGCACCAACACACGAGAAACTAAAAAACTCCCACTAGATAATAAACATTCCTAAATGGGAGGATACACGCTCCTAAAGAGAAAATAAAAACCACAACACAAACACCACACACTAACTACTAAAATACCCTAAAGATAAACCAAAGCCTTCCTCGACAGCCGGCAAGCAAGCCTGCAAAACCACGACACTGACCACCGAGTACAACCACACAAAAGTGAGAGAAACTCAGCCTAAGGCTCCAAACCAGAAATTGCAGTAATGGTACGCCTAACTAGATTGAATTACTAGACCCAGGTCCTCGCCAAGGTAGATGACACTTGGACCAGAACCGGAGACAAGCTCCGAACACCCTCCCCCATACCGACTGGCAACCAAAGATCGAAGAGCCACCAGAACCATACACCCACCAGCAAGTCCCATCATCCAGCCCAAGGACGATGGGAAAACAGGGGATAAGAAATCAAAATAGCCCCAACTCCAACCTTGTCATCTACCGGCAGCCACGGTGGACAACCCCTGTTGCCACTGTCTTTACTCGTTGACGAGCCCCTTGCCCAACACCAAGGAAGTTATAAAATTAGGGGGAGAGAAGAGCCAACCTTGTTAGCATATTGGTATATTTAGGGTTGTATATTTGTTAGTATATTTTCCTAGTAGTAGGTGACTTGCTTGGCAAGTAATTCATTGTAAGTAATCTAGGTATTGTTGTGTATATATAGATGATATAATAATATGAGGACACCTCAATGGGGCGTGCCATCTTCCCATATCTCTTCAATATTTCACGAACATAACATGGTATCAAGAGCCGGTTAAATTTTTTTTCTCCTCTCAGACAAATTAATTTTTTCTTTCTCGGAAACAGATTATTTTTTTTTCTTTCTCTTGGCGGCGGCTCTTTCCTCACCCTCTCCCGACGGCACTTTCAGCAGCGGTCTCCTTCTTCGTTTCAGTTCAATGGCAGAGTCCAGTGGCAAGACTGTGGCTCGAAAAACCATCTATCCATACGATCTTTCTTCTTCGGATAACCCGGGTCTTCTCATCACCCATGTTCAATTGAATGGTGATACAGATTATGATAAATGGTGTCGAAACTTTCGCAATGCGTTGCGTGCACGGAAGAAATTTGGATTCCTTGACGGATCTATCCCTCGTCCTGATTCTGATGATGAGCTTCTTGACGACTGGCTGGCAAACAACTCTCTTCTTTCTTGGATCATGAATAGTATGACCCACAGGTACGATCTTCTATCACTACACCCGAGTCTGCTCGGCGATCTATGGTTGGGACTTAAGAAGCGTTATACTACCGTAAATGGCCCTAGGATTCAAGAATTGAAAATTGCTTTATCTACTTGCAAACAACAAGGCAGCACGATTGAGAATTATTATGGTCAATTGGTGAAAATTTGGGAAGAACTATCAGACTATGATAAACCTTTTCTCTGCAACTGTTGAAAGTGTGTATGTGCTCTTCAAGCCCTCTGGGATAAAAAACGTGATGAAGAGAAAGTTCATCAATTTTTGATGGGCCTTGATGGACACTTGTATGGCACCACTCGCTCTCATATTTTAGCATTTGATCCCATCCCCAATCTCAATCGGGTCTTTTCCATGATGGTTCGCGAGGAACGGATGCGCACGGCAAGCAATGAACAGCCCTAAGTCATCGCGGCCGGCTTCTCGATCAATGGGTCGGGGCTGTTGGGCGCGGCTCCGTCGAGCACTACGGCGGCTTTCTCCTCTCCAGCCGCTACGAACACCACAGGCCTCGGGCTTCTGAGCAGCAACACACCACATGGACCTGCCGGCGTACAGGGCTCGTTACCGCAAATAGCAGGTGCAGTTGCAGTATCCTCGACCACGCAATCCGGGACGGCTGGAGTTCGATCGGTGACGAATCTCACATGCTTTGGATGCGGGAAAAAGGGTCACATTGCGGCGAATTGTTTTCAGACTCATGGCTATCCCAAGTGGTGGAGCTCGTCTCGTGGAGGTCGAGGTGGCCGTGGTGGCCGAGGCGGTCGTGGGCGTAACGGCGGTGGTTCCCACGCAAAGGCAAATGCGGCAGTTGGCTCTTCAAATTTTTCTACTGGGCCCGTGTTGAATGAAATGGACAAGGTCGCACTTTCCGAGTTGTCCAATGCTCAATGGGAGTCTCTCGTCAACCTTGTCAATTCCGCTCGCACTAATACTCCGCTTTCTGGTAAGCGTATTTCTATGGATTGAATATATGATTGTGGTGCTACACATCACATGACGGGTTCTCGGAATTCTTTTACTGATATTCGGGATATTCCGCCACGCTCTGTTCAGTTGCCTAATGGCACACTTACTACTGCTCGCCAAGCCAGGACCATCACTCTTGGTTCTTTTATTACTCTTTATAATGTGTTTTATGTTCCTAGCCTTCGGTGTAGCCTGATTTCTCTATCTCATCTGTTGGAGCATTCTGGGTGCATTACTATTTTTTCTCATAAATTTTGCGTGATTCAGGACCTAACTTCGAAGATGGTGATTGGAACGGGTGATCAGTTGGGGGGACTTTACTTCTTTCGAGGGACAGTCACTGCAGCGGCTACTCGAGTAAAGACAATGTCTCTGGATTTGTGGCATCGACGAATGGGTT